AAAAAACGTGCTAATAAAATACAAGATTACATGTAACCTAACGAGTATATGGGCAATGTCCATAATCGAATAATACGTACACATGCGTACGTTGCATACACCTCATGTTGGATTTTGGGCCATTTTTATGCCAAGTTAAGAAGAATGGTTAAACTCGCCTACCCCAATGCTTCCAACAGTAAATCAAGACGAATTAGTCAGACAACAATTTTCCCAGGGTTTTACGCCCGATAATCTAGACGAATCGGTTTAGAAACACCTATTTCTGGTTTGATAAAGAAATTGGAAGAGATTGAGAGATATAAAGCATCAATTAGTTGGGCCTACCCAGCCTATATATCTGGCTCTAGTAACTACTTCTCAAGGTATTACATCTGCTGAGATCGAAAAGTTAAATTCGAAAATAGCTTCCTTACAAGAACAAATATCACAACCAGCTCAAATACTCCTCAGAAGATTCTTCAAGTGAATCCGAAGCTGAGATCAATGTCAATATAAGCCGAGAAAAAAAAAGAACGAATGAAGCTCAGAGTCTCAGACACATAGTTCTATGCCTTCACAGAGGCGACGTAAGTCGCTTTGCGAAGCAAATAAGAAGCGTTCAAAAACTCTGCCCCCTTATTCCAGCTCTGAGAAAAATCAGTATAACAAACGCGATTAGAACAGATTGTAGGAAAAATGATGGAGAAAAAGCTTAACGAAATGTTTGAAAATAAATTGGCCTTACTATTACTACAAGAAAAAATCGCTACACAAAACGCAAAATGTTCTAGCATAATAGACCACCCAAAACCCAGCGCTTTGCGTCCTCCGGATATAAAAAGGTAAGTTCAAAAACACTGGATTCAGAAGATAATGAGTCTGAAAACGAAGAGACGATAAATGAACCGATGGAAATTGACTTTATTCAGAAAAAGGAGCCTGCGACCGATGTAGTGACTACTAGATGCAAAATTAAACGATTGGTAATTTGGTGCGAATTTTCCAATTATGTCTGAGGATATAGCCGAACGACTAAAATTAAATATTGACACAAGGGAAAAACATGATCTTAGAGGTATTGCTACTGTCCCTACTGAATCGCTTGGAATTGTTCGTAATGTATCAACAAATTTTGCACTATATATTCCGATTTTGCGGTAGTTAAATATCCCAAGCCGATGCTAATTTTACCAAATACTCTCCTAGATAAATATGATTACGATTTACTCGCGTCGAAACGAGAATTGAAACTCGTATGTAATGGTAAAGAGTATTTTATTCCGATAAACATGCACCAGTATCCAATCATGCTATTTTGCAGAATAAACTTGAGCCGTTAAAAAAAACGCTCGAGTTATGATGAACTCGAAAAATCATTACGCGAGGTTCTTGATTCGAACGCCAAATTAGTTGAAGCTAACAGAGTGTGTTGTAATTATGTTTTTGAGAGCAAACATTCAATGTTATCCACTGACGCAATTGATATCCGTCGAGCCACTACTTCGCAATAAAAAGAGAAAGCTGGTTAACGGGTGTTTTTAGGAAACAAACTTCAAAATCTTGTCTCATCTGTTCTGTTTATGTAATGATTTTTCTGTTTTCATTCAGTCTTTTTTAAATCGGGTATACAAGTCGTCTTTCAATTTTGCTCCTCCGTTCTCAGAAATAGAATTCTCTTCGCTCCATGAGGTATTAAAAACGGTTTTGTGTTTGGGCTGTAGCAGTTGGACTTAACGTTATGTTTGTTGATGGACCAAGAAGGATTAGTAGTAGGCGGATCAAAAATTTGCTGTTTGCGCTGGGATAAACCTTCTCCAAATTTCATAAATTCGACGCGTTGAAATATGATATTTATCAGCCATCGTCTTGGAGGCATTTTTTATTCTTCCTCTTGATTGGATAATTTCTTCAAGTGCTTCCGGAGATAAATATGGCGCACCTGCGCGGTAATATTCCACCGTTATGGGTTCAATTTTTTTAGTTATAAAAAAAATCGAAAAAAATCGAAAATTATTGAAATCTAAAAATGGCATATTTAGTTAGGTTTTTAGTATAATCAATATGCAATAGTGATCGAAAATGTTCGATAATTATTGAAATAGGGAAGTAAAATATTTAAGCATTTTAGTTGGATATTTAAACGTTAATATAAGAATGGATGCTATAATTTGATAGACAAGTTAGAAGGTGATGGTACCAGATTAAGTTAGTTGCATACTGACAAAACGGGCAAAGCTCGATCTTTCTTCGTAGAATAGAATTGCAAGCATCAATCCCTAACAATGTCTTGCCAATTGTATACTCAAGCAATTATACCTAAATCGGTAATTGATTTTTTTCTTCATTATATTTACAAGAACTAGACATGTATTACAGTAATCGACTATATGAAGCTAATCAAATTAAATGCCAATCATTAGAATGCAGATTCCTGATTTCATTACGCAAAGTTTCCTTCGGCGTAAAATATGTTTTCTTAATATAATTCATCTTAGAGTGTTGAGGCTTTTTGGTAATTGATCTTGATTTCAGTATTTTCGCAATTTGATTGTTATCATTGCAAGACAGATATTTAGCCTTATTGATGGCCTTCTCCTATTATAAATGGTATCGTTACGAACGTTGAATATTACTGCACATGCAGAAACACTCAGAACTAGTTGGCTTACCTTAAAGAGATATAGGATTTCCAATGAGCTTCGTAATACCTCAATATTATTTAACACCGCAGGAAACCTAAACGTTGGTCCATTTAAACTGAAGTACAATCCTTCATCAAGTAAGTCAATTGCAAAAAGTTGACCTTCTAGACCTAGAAACACCATAAATAATTAGCTTATAGTATATTATTAGCATTTGCTGCTATACTGTTTAATAACAATCTTACCAGCCGATTGTAAACCAAATATCGTAGAATCTTCAACCGCTTCTTCGGGAAGGTCGTTCATGAGATATTGGTCTAGTATACACTTGTTCGTCCTCAAGCACTTACTGCGACCTTTAATTATTTTTAATGGTGTCGCTTTTCGTGCAAATTCCGAGTGTGACAAAACCGTGTCACTATCGACGGTCAACACTCTTAAATCTATTTTTCGGCTTATAGTAGGCTTGGAAGTTGTCTCGCCCCTGTACGCATTCATAAAAAATAAATTAAACGTTACTAGCTACTGTAAGCTAACAAACAACACTCACCATTTGAGATAGACAATATCGTGATCGCTAGAAAAAATTATGTCCAATATAGGACCTGCAACTTTCATAATATATTCAACTTCCGTCAGATTCTTTTTTCTACCTTCTTTATCAATAAAAGAGTATGGGTTTTCTAAAAGCATATCGATTCTGAGAATAAAATTTAAAGTTAATTAAAATAAGCGGTCAAAGAAAACTAAAACATAACATAACATAACATAACATACACATAATAATACGTTTTTAAAACTTGACGGTGCGTATCATCACTGGGCCTCTCTTTTATCTTATCCAATAAGTGCGCCCGCGCTTCCCAATACTTAAATGAGGTACATAGCTGAACGTTTAATAGAATGAATATAGGTGAGTGTTCACATGTACAGCATTACAACGATCAATAAACTTTACATACCTCTTCGATCTTAATAATATCAGATAAAATATCTCCTTTGAATTTTCTTACTTCAAACTTTATTTTGTGCGAACATCTCACTTTCAGGTCTTCCCAATCCTGACCAAACCAGGCATGCATCCCTCCTTCAAACTCCGATGATAAGTCGATTATTGACGAAAGACCGAGTCTGCGCGCATGCATCTCATTGTTAATGTACGAATATCAAGAAATAACAATAATAATACTGTATAATACCTTAACCTTATAGTGCTCAAAGTCTTTGCTTCCATTTTTTTTAGTTCATTGGATTTGTCAATTGCTTTTCGCGTCATCCGTAGCAAAACATCTCTAACTTTCTCGCCATTTCTTAAAGTCCATCTCTCTCTATTACATGTATCAACCCATTCGTCAAATGAAAAGCTATCAATATTGTCTAATTCTTCATCGGAATAATCAGATTTTTCAACATCGCTTTCGTCTTCGATACAATTATCCGAATCACAATTGAGATCTAAGAGACGTTTCTTAAAATATCGGACCTCAGTTGATGTCGGCTTCAATTCCTGTTCCTCTTGATCAATATCTTCATCTGATAAACTCATTTTCCTTTTGCGATCAATCGTGATGAGATCTTCAGCTATGTTCTTATGGAATTCTGTTACCGCAATGATATGGTCTTGCAAATATTTCGACTAGAAGCATGAACAAAGATTAGTAAGTTCAAAAGCATAACAACTGATAGAAACCGTACTTTTATCTTAGCTAATTGTAGATTTTCCTGACTTTTTATCTGAGCTAGCTGAATAGCTTCCTCATCCCTTAGTCTCTTCAGCTCTTGTAAATATTTGAAAAAATCATTCTGTTTTCTGGATGTCTTCCAAGCCTAAGATAAGAAATAGCAAATTCTGTAATAAAACCGTCTCCAATTCTATTTAATGCATACATGAGGAAACTGTAACGAACGAGCAGTTCAACACCCCAGCCGACAATCAGTCCTGAAGTGTGTTACAGAAGTTTAATCTGACGCAATTGACGTAAGCAAGCTGTAGCGAACGAGCAGTTCAACATCTTCAGCCGACAATCAGTCCTGAAATGTGCTATAGCCGCTTAAATCAATCCCTCACAACAAACTAAGACTTACTTCAAAGTCCTTGTCCATTTGTCTTATTTTCGGATTGGTGTTTTCGGAAGATTGACTAAGTCTATCCAGGGTCTTTTTCATACCGTCTAAGTCTTTTCGTTTCCATAAAGTTCGCGTACTGAGTACAACTGTATACCATGGCGCAAAAAAGTGTCGGTCTCGTGATTCTTAATCATAATTGTGCATTTCATTGGTTGATTGAATATTATGAGTGCACAATAATAATAATGGCAATTACGTTAATTAATAAAATGCCTATATTAATATTGGATATCTACGAAGACGTTATTATTATAGTCAAACCTCTTCATACCAATATTAATACCTGTTATACCGATAAACTCCGCTATAACCTTTGTACCGATACATCAATGCCATTTACTATTAAATCTCACCCCGCTCTACCGTAATATTTACTAAACTGGGAATGTGTCAAGCATTTTGATTGGTTGATATTTCTGTATTTTATCGATCCTGCCTGATGTGAATGTTGAAGTCTAAGAACAAACATTTCAGAGGAGGTAAAAGTCTTATTACATGCGGGAGAGACAGCCTTTTCTTTAAACTGAGTGTAGCGTGTCTTAAGTAAAATATTAAAACGTATAGGTGGGCCTCATATTGCTGTCTTTGGACGTAAACTAATTCTCGACCAAGTTGACCACTATGTCGAATTCAATGAGTATCCGCGAACGTCTGGAACCGGTGTGGCAACGGTTTATCATGTTGCCGCGTGGGATTCCAACGAAGCAAAAAAAGGGTTTGCGTTAAAAAAATATTCAGTATTCGATTAGTGACCCAGTAACAAAAAGTTGATGTAGAATATTAAGTAGTTGCTTGAATTTTTTGTTCGTCTCGATATGATTTTACAAAATTCTTAACCAAGGGTCTTATTTTCGCAAAATTTACATATTTGTTCTGTTACCCTAGTACCTTATAATACACAATATACAACTAATTGCAGTACCCGACTAATGACTGTGACAATGAGACTTAATGCAAGCCGATGGCTGTGTAATTTATTTTCTTAACAGTCCCATTTACTGAAAGGAATTCAAAGCAACGATACTTTTGAATGACGAACAACATAATAGGTTAGTATACTCACGTATAAAAGGTATAAAATTACTGTGTAACAAGCAATATTATCGTACCATAGAGTTGATACGTATTGATAATGAATGGTACACTCGGAATTTGCAAAAAAAAGGGTACAGTACGGAATTTCGATACCGCACACACGTGTCAACTCCTACAACACTTTGCCAACCGCCGACCTCCTATTTTTCTCCGCATAATATACGGCTTGTTGAAGTAGCAGCAGAGACTTATTATTCATAGATATAACTGATTAAATTTTTGTTTGCTCTCGAAATTTAAGCTAAAATGTGATGCGATTGGTAGTCAGTTGCAGATTATCTACACATTTGGTTACAGGAACAAGAAAGACATATTATGGGTGTTATACTGTATATCTAATGAATTTATCTGTGATATTACTCTGCTATTGCCGAAAGCACACTGTTAGATTTCTGAACTAGGTATTCATTCAGATTGCAACACATAATATTTTGATATTTCCTGTTGTCATTCCATCATTGAATCAAACATTAATGAAGCTCTTAGATTTTGCTCAAATCTTTAATATCTCGATATCAGAATTTCTAACGCAACTATCGGAGCATGCTCCAATTTAAAATAGCCCTATTTGGAAAACTTCGGAACTTTCACTATAAAACGACTTGAGCCAGATATTTATGTCAAATTTTATGAAGAACCACATGAATGATCAGATTCTGAATCAGACGGGTCTGAGATTAATAATTGGCAATAATTAATTTATATCAATTTATTATTATACTATTATAGGTCAAAGATTGCCTATTACTATGCCACAAATCTTAATTAATAACAAGCTAAAACAATTTCCGATTATTGTAATCGTCTTCTCTGTCTTCTCTTGGACTTCCTACTCAGTGTAACCGTAATCGGTGGTGGCTCGTCTGCAGGCGTTGGAATAAATGGGGTCGGATTTTGTGAGGTCGCATACCTAACAAATTTAATAAAGTATTATTAACAGATAAATTTTACAACAATAACCACTTGTATTATTAACGTCAAGTTGCTTTTTTTTGTGTAGTTACCCTATTGATTCCAGCATTGCTCTTATACCAGAACCAACAATTCCAGTACCTCCATTCTCACTAATAATTTGTTGGTATGTCTTCCCTGGTATATCATCAAAAATCATCAACCAGTTTTCTGTCATTTGGTATGTCTCTTTGTCTACATGCGATCCAGTGGAACCAGGGACGAACTCTGGGAAAGAAGTCTCGATCAAAATAGCATCTTGTGCCCCTTTTGGCCAAAATCCAATTGCCTGTGGCGTGACAAAATCTACTGTAGTGGTCAAGTTAATATTGGCAGCAGCCGCTGTAATAGCATTATCTAGTTCCGCTTGAGAATCATATGTGCCCTCAAGGGCAACTTGAAGAGCATCTGTAAAATTGCTTAAACATTGATCATCCGCCATTCGGGCAAAAAAGGCATCGAAGATTGTTTCACGGATGGTGACGGTTTTCGGGAACACGTCATCCAAGGGTAGGATAAATGGGGTTACCGTATTTGCCATCCAAGGCCTCCAAGATGACGCAAAGCCTAGTCCGTGAACGAATTCATGCGTTACAGTAGCCACGAAATCATCTTGAGTCGGACCTATCGAAGTATCTCCGGGTAAGAAAAAATCAAACTTGCTGTTAAATGAGGCGATTATGTCATGTGACACGTAGGGTAGGCTACCCGTTTCATCAGCTATTTTTGCCAGTGTCTGAGGATAAGCACGGGTACGATTATCTTCACCAATCATAGAGAGCCAACGTGCTGGTTGTGCGGAACCAACTGCATTGGGATAGTGTAAAAAAAATATGTTGGGTTATAAAAATTTATGCACGTAAATATCAGGATTTATCCATGCATTTTTATTATGGTTACTCACGAATAATTCCATTAGCGCAAGATTTTATCGCACATAAATCTGCAAATTCTGCCAAAACCTTAATCGTATTTGGAAACTCAAATACTGCGGTCAAAAATTCTCCTGCTTGTATAAAAGCTTGCTTCGCTTTTTGGCACTTTGATGCATCTATTGTTGGGTCACAGGTAAAATCTAGCTCGAATGCATTTGTTTGAGTTGCTGGAATAACTTCATACGTTGTGTTGAGCCCGTAAGAAACGATTAATTTAGATTGGGCAGAGCTATTTCTGGTACAGTTAGTTCTCTCAAATTTGATGCCTAGTGAGTCTGTTGGTTCGATACATTCATAAGACACCGAGGGAGAAGTCAGAAAAGCAATAACAGAAATTATGGTAAGATAAAGATGGATAAGAGTAGGCGTAATCATATTGAATTTTCAATTGTTGTTGTTGTTGTTGTTGTTGTTGTTGTTGTTAGCTAGCCTAGATTACTCGTCAGCTCGCATCGAACTTTGAGCTGGATCAGAGCTCTTAAATAATAACATGTTCGTATTCTATTTTATTGTTAGTACGGATAAAGGGTCATTTAGGAAAGAAACACGAAACAACCGCGAACAAGACATTTTCCCAATTTGCTAATCTGTATACAAAACCCGTTGTTCGACAAGTTATGCCCGAACACATTTCGGGATAGAATTTTCTGTTAGCTGCGCTCAATAGCGAGGCCAATAAATTTAATTTAGAACTTTGAAAAATTATGCTGAACACATCTCCGGATAGAATTTCCTGTTGGTTGCGTCCCAATAAATTAGACAATAATTTGGTAATAAAATAAGCTAACTAAATTTTATCGAGCTGTGTGACAGGGGATACATCGACGATAATGGCAACTGATGCATAGTTAAGGTAACTATATGACCGGTCGTATCACAATATCACTGTATAAATTTAGTTAAATTCATAATCGGGCTCGCGAGGCATTTTTAGCTTTACAATGATAACACCTGACGTTGATCAAATATGGCGTAAGACTCATTCACTGCATAAATTTCTAGAAATAAAGAAACTAAGAAGGATTTACTAATTATAATTAAAACGCGATTAACAGTGTTATATGATATTAAATATTATATTAATATACTTAACTAGGATACACAGTATTTCTTGGGGGGTGCGATTTATTAAAAAAATTCGGACAGTAGATTATTAAAAATAGACATAAATGAGCAAACAAAATAAATCGATAGAAAATTTTTATGTATTTCATCGGGTCATTTAGGAAAGAAACACGAAACAACACATTTTCCCAATTTGCTAATCTGTATACCAAAACCCGTTGTTCGACAAGTTATGCCCGAACACATTTCGGGATAGAATTTTCTGTTAGCTGCGCCAATATCGAGGCCAATAAATTAATTTAGAACTTTGAAAAATTATGCTGAACACATCTCCGGATAGAATTTCCTGTTGGTTGCGTCCCAGACAATAATTTGGTAATAAAATAAGCTAACTAAATTTGGAAATTAGTTTACGAGCTGTGTGACAGGGATACATCGACGATAATAATAATGGCAACTGATGCACAGTTAAGGCAACTATATGACCGGTCGTATCACAATGTCACTGTATAAATTTAGTTAAATTCATAATCGGCTCGCGAGGCATTTTTAGCTTTACAATGATAACACCTGACGTTGGTCAAATATGGCGTAAGACGTCATTCACTGCATGCATTCACGTATTTCTAGAAATGAAGAAACTAAGAAGGATTTACTAATTATAATTAAAACGCAATCAACAGTTTTATTTGCGGTTATATGATATTAAATATTATATTAATATACTTAACTACACGATTTTATTAAAAAATTGCGAACAGTAAATTATTAAAAATAAACATAAATGAGTAAACAAAATAAATCAATAGAAAAATTTTTATTTCATCGGGTAAGACATACAGTGGAATTACTATGTCTGATAGATGTGCAAAAGGAGCAGAATTATCTTTATCGCTTGTGGCTATATTGCTGATAGATTAATCGAGGACTGTTTACTTTGTTCGAGTAAACATGAGGTTAAAGAATGATAAGCAACCAAATAAGAATAGTTATTTCGTAACCATTCACATGCAATGATGTATGGTACGCAGCAGTTGTTGGTCGGAAATTGGGTAAAGTCATCATTAGTGAGACGATGCAGAATCTTGCATAATGTGGCAAATACGAATGGCTAGTGGATTGGCATTGAAAGATTTGTGCATCATTGTTTGCATTGACATACGAAAGCCACGAATCTCGCATTGAAAACAATTTCGGTTGTGCCAAGAGTAAATACGTTGATATAAGCCATTTTGATTAAGTTGATCTCTTTAGTGAATATGTTGTGACTGAGTTGAGTTGTCTCAGTTCCAAACCCAGATACTCAGTCCAAAACTGAGACAGGTCCTTGTCGAACAAATATTTGTCGGTGAAATGATTGCCTCCCAATGGTATTACATCAACGTAGGAGCACTAAATAAAAAGATAGGCGTAAGTATGTTATTGTTACTGCTTTTATGGGAAAGCTACAATAAACTTCTAAAATTTTGGTAACATTCGGCAAAAATCGGACATAATAATAGTACTACAAGATCTATTTAACCCAAAAAAATTCCAAACTTGGACAATTGTTTTTTGACAAACGATATGTTGATAATCAGCGAAACAAATCAAAATTTTTATTCTCGAGAAAAAAAATCGTCACCAGCTGATGTCAATATAAAAAAAACCCCCCATTTCGATGATAATATTAGCTGTTGGGTGATGAAAATAAATCGCATCAAGTGAACAGGACAAATTGGTTGTTGGATTAACTCGGTCACTTGTTGGGTTACCCGATCACTAACCCGAGTGACTTTCGAATTTATCTAAATACTACATTTGTTTTCTTATTTCAAATAACGTCGAAGAACGGAGGGATACAAGAATGCTTTGCCACATAATTGACAAGTTTTATCAGACTTTATCGTCAATATCTCTGCTAATTTTGGTTGCATTCACTTTTTTTTACGTTACCAACTCAGAACTCACCTACCTTTCCTCCAGCACGATCGAGCCAACCAGTTCCCCATGTTTTTCGTAATCAACGACTATTAAATCATGCATCATTGTAAAATCAGCTTTAGTATCTGTAGACACATCTTCAAGGATTGGTGGATTACTTAATTTCTTGAATATAAAAGAGGGTTGAGCACTGCCATCTTGGGAGCCTGCACCTACAAAGACGTCTTGGCCAAAATATCTGAAGAATATAATGGAATGGCCATATCAAGGGTGATCCTTAACCCCATTAGGTCGATTATAGAACGTAAAGTAGAACATCCAAGTCGAGTAAAAAGCTGTAAATAGAACGGATGACCAATATCCAACATGACATTTTGATGGAAAAAATGATTGGTAATTATAAGCCGGTGATTTATACTAAAGAAAAACTCGAATTGTCTGTCGTATTCTCTATTATAGGTCTCAGGGTTACTATTGTATTGCTGAAAAATTGCGCAATGCGAGTAAGAAAGCCGTTTATTAGCTGATGTGGGAAATTGGTAGATAAACAGGCTCTGTATCAAATTCATAAGCCCCGCTCGCCGTTTATTCCATGTGCAAGCTTTAACAATGTTACTGCTCCAATGGAAAGTTATAAAATTAGTAATTGTGGCAGATTAAAACGAAATGGATTAAAACGAAATTTGGAGTCTTCTTGGATTTTCTCTGAAATCTAAATATACTCTTCTATTAACAAAAGTTACCCTAAATCCCAACTCGAATCCCAAAAAAAGCCTAGAAAATTGCCCCCAAAATTTTTAATTTTTTATATTAAAATAGAGAAAATTTCATTTTAATCCAATTTCATCTTAATCTGTCTCATTAAATAATACTATAACTCGTTCAATTGGAATGGATCCTATTGAAGCTGTAAAAAAACACGTTTATGTTAAATCCTCTAAACCACGTAATAGTAATGGTCCTATAGGTTTTTATAAAGATTGTCCAACTCACAACAATTTAATAAGATACCTACTCAAATTCGGAGTCCGCAAGTTTATCATATCAAAAAATCGCTGATACAAAAAAATCAGCCTGCTTTGTATTGGCTAATAGATAATGATGGAAATGGACGATAAACGTTCGGTAATTCCGAATTGCTACCTAATTGGGTACTCAAACAATAACATTTTAAACCGTGGATTTTGAGATTATTCTCTACATCCGCTTCAGATATTTTTCTACTTTTATTCTTTACTAGCCGATTCAAGATAAATAGTACATATTTCTTCATTATACCAATCTTTGAAATTCGCCATTCTTATTCTATCATTATATGTCTCCTTATTTGGTGCGCGTTGTTTTGCTACATGTACAGTATAACATGATCTTCTGGGTTTCTTTTTCGCTGTAGAGTGTTTAGAAAACTTACATATCCAAGGCCAATTCCTTAATGCTCTCCCGCGCGGTAGTCAGCTCGACAATAATCATTTATCAGTGAAATTAATAAAAAATTTTGTAAAAGTATAATGCCTTTATCACATGCATGTGCTCTTTCCAGATGCATCAGTCTGTTGTATCTTTGAATATGTTAACTTACACGTTTAGATAAAGAATTTATATTAGTAAACCAAATAAGAATATATAGTGACATGGCCAAAAAAGAAGATCAGGTAAATTTGCCTGTAAATGGCAAGGGACAAAATTGTTTACTATTGCTACACTTGCCAAAATAAACAAATTAAATCTTTTCAATATTATTTTATATCTAATACTCTTTACTAAAAATAATTTTTACTGATCAATCTTTTTTTTTCCCTTTACTTCTGACCCGTTTCCATGAAAAAAAATATACCTTACTTTGTGCTTTACAGATCTCTGTTCAGCTGCTCTTTCATATGATAATAAATCAAGTGCCTTTTTAATATTTGCTTCTAACCCAATCCCATTTTCATAACACAGGCCAAGTACAGATAAAACCCTCTAAGTACCCGCCGTTGGGACCAGACCATGGAGTTTTGCGTTCTTTATTAGTTTTTGGGACCAGACCATGGCGTGCATTTGGAGGGAGTGTGTATTTATGGAAAATAGTAATTTGTGTAACACCATAAGATATACGTACGTATTATAATATGAACGTTTATTATTTAATTAAAATATTGATCATGGTTGTTTGTCTCATTTGACTACTTTTCCATCCATTAATAATTTTCCAAGACTGTTCAACTGTCTTATCTGCTCACTTGTGTCTTCTTGTTGTAACAAAAACCATCGTACATTTTCTAAGCTTTTTAATGCACTACTGGCGCCAATAGGAATCTCAATACTGTTATCCATTTCTTCAGCGTTCACCTCATCGATAATCGTCTCATAATCGTGGATGCTTAATTAGACAAACGCGAGTTCCACCATTGGGTTGCACTCAGGTTCCTAACACGGTAAGTAAACGTCATTGATTAATCCGATTGATATTTATTCTTAGAACGCGCGGGTTAGGGCTTGACTTTTGTTTCCCAATACAAATGAGAATCTGTGCAGCAAAAACTGAGGGGGAGATAAACCACATTAAAGCTCTTCCAACTGATAACCCAGAGCGTGCAGTGCCCTTCTCCACTGTGTGCTTAACTCGTCGAACTACAGAAAAAAGAAACCATACTATTGGAAAGGTAACGACTTTGTGACGCGGGCGTTGGGGACGCGTAATAATGTTACTATTGCATTGATATCCTAGTATAAACATGTTTTTATACTCCACACCCTCTTGGTTAGTATAGCTTTAACAATTAATTCGCCCCACTACTAATAATAGATACCCAGTCTCGGTAAGTCTAATGGCCGACTTATCGAGAATCATGTGAATAAGCCTTTTAATATTAATAATTACATCGTAATAGTAAAATAACCCAAGACTAGCTTGTCTTAGAGAATCAACTTGCTTTTTTCTTATCTGACGTTGTATCAAAGCTTAAACTATTCTATTCGATGTCGTATGATTATAATGCTATTATAAGATCGTAAATAGAGATTACGATATTATTATTATTGATTCGTCACTTAAATGCACTACACAAGATATTTTTAGCAACCATTTAGATTTTAGAATAGCCATTCCGATGGCAATTTTAGATATATATACCGTATATTCTCGTGAATAAGCACACCTCGATCATATGAAAAATGATCGGCAAAACATCACGTAAATAACAAACTTAGGGGGTTGGTTTATAGTAATCACAGTAACCAGAATTATACAGTCAAACCTGTTTATACCGGACGGTTTGGTCCAGCTCTTAGCGTCCGGTATAACGAGATTCCGGTATATGT